TTCTTCAATTATGTGAATTCCACCAAGCACAGCAAGGAAAAAGATACTTCCTCAGAGACCAAGAAGAGACGGCATTCCACCGATCGGGACGAAGCTGAAGAAGAGACGATGGAACCCTCCGGGGAAAGATCCGTCAAACCAAAAGTCACCGTGGAATATCGCAATTCAGAGAACCTAGATGAGTTCATCCAAGGACTCAGGGGAATCTATCTCGACACAGATTTGAACAAAAAGGACGCAGAGGAAGAGCTCGAGGAGACCAAGGCAACCCTCTCCCACTTCATGAACAAGTTCAACAAAAATCCAAGAAGAGCTCATCCCAACTTGACAGAGTGCGAGAGAGCCTCATTGGCACATGTCGATCCCGATGTCAATCTCGGAGAAGAAGAATTCTACTTCCCTCATCGAGGAGAATGTCCCACCATTGACGAGTACAAGAAAGCTCAACCAGGATCCGGATATCCGATTAAACTTCCGCTTGGATTGAAGAAGCTCAGGTCACATGATGACCCGGAAATCATCCGAGCCTTTGCTGATATCCTGGGATCGCTGATGCAGCCGACCGACCGTCCTCCTGTGGACTATCTCAATATGCATGAGTTCACCTCATCCATAGCGATCAACATGCTTACCCTGAACCATGGAAACCTCACAAGGAATCCAAAGCTGGACAACAGGGAGGTGTACAACATGCCGATGAAGGATCGACCGATCGTGAAGATGATGATGCAGAACAGTGCACACATCTTATGCCTGAATGAAGCAGACCCATTCTTCAGTCCTACTGTTGCGAAATCCAGGGAGCTCATCAAGACGTTCATCCGATACGGTTACAAGGGCATCGTGATCAAGCAATGGTCATCCAGACCGATCGCATGCTTTGTCCGTGGCGGACCTTCTGCAAGAGTGGAACTTCTGGCAAGACACATTTCCACCAAGAGCCAGAATTGGGGAACCACATTCGGAATGTTCAGATGTTTCTTCGGAACTGAAGGAAGTTGCACTGATCCCGAATACGAGATTCCGACCTCGGATTGCTTGGCAACCACAGGACCATCCATGTTTACTGAATCCAAGAAGTACATTGGACCGAGATTGCCAACACGTACCTTTGTCCAAGGACATGGCCGAGACAAGGAGATCGTCGTTCTCCATATCGAGCAGAGTGATGAGTTTGGTGGCATGATCCCGAAATCATCCAACAAGTCACTCCACGAGTATGACGACCGCCACATAACGAGGGCAGATCTCCCATTCGCTACCATTGGAGTTTTCCACATCCATCCTTCAATTAGCCATGGAGCAGCAAGGGAAGATCTTCAAAATGAAATCATGCCGCTCGTGACTTTGTACCGATGCGACGCGATCACCGGAGACGCCAACAAATCAGCGAACACCTACAGCAAACTGCAGCACGTCTTCAATCCGGCCAACGGTCTCGTGAACATCCTCATGAAAGAATATCAGAGACTGTGGAGTGAAACGAAAGATTTGCAACTCGTGGACAGAATGGAGTATGCAATGGAGACTTCGTGCACCCTAAAATCCATTGTCCGTCATCACCTGTACATGAAGTGTGGATCAGGATATGATCGAACATTCCCAGATGTGATGATGATTTTCGTATTTGGATGGGCAAAACGAACATCTAGCAGGCTTTCCGGAAGGACGAGATGAACGGCATGGATGATGAACAACTGGTATTCATGCGGAACCATCCAACCAAGGCCATATTCGATTACCAGGTCTCATTCGCAGAGCGCTTTAGGCACGTGAACAATGACATGTTCATGAATGGCTCGCAGGACTCCGACTCTCACAGTCCTCTCATGGTGTACATCCGCAGCAAATCTGCAACCAGTAAACGCAGCGCTGAAAGATACCAGGAGTACATCAAGAAGAAACAAGTCTGGACCCCGCAGGAGTACAAGGACTACAATAAGCAGTGGGGACATCAGAAGCAGTGGAAGGACTATAGCAACTCGACCTGGAATGATTATGGAGACTATGGCAGTCAATCCGACAGCAGCCGCCGATGGTATCGTCGATCC